AAACCTCTTGAAACAAAGTCCCAAAAAGGGGTGTTTTTATTGACGATGACTTTACAATTGGAAAATATGACAGAATGCCTCCAAGGGACGCAAGCACACGAGTTACTGAAAAGAAGTACTTAAGTCTAAACTAAGAAATTGAAAGTCATATATTCTCTATTTGAAAGTGTTTGATTCGGGATCTTTTGTTCTATGTCTTTTCTTCATTTTATACTCCCTAGATGATCTCTTCGTGATCAATCGCTTAAAAACTGTTTGATCGTTCTATAACTGCCCACTTTCTTCATAGTGGTCAAATTGTCATGGATCTGCCTTCTCTAACTGCTGCCATTACTTTTCGTCGTTCGATTGTTTTCAATTGATTTCCTTGAATCGTGGAACGTGATAGGGCTACTCAATAACTGCTTCATTAGCCGCACCTTTAGGTAACTATAATATCTTATGTTTGCTAAGATCCTAGGCGACTCAAAGGTTTGGGCGAGAACAGGGTCACAGCTCTGGGCGACTGTATGGCAATCCATTCGCTCAAATTTTGGGTGACTTGCAAGTTTGGACGATGATATTACCACGTTCATGGGCTTCCCTATTTGGGCCTTTATCTTGAATTGTCTGATTGGACTGTTCTTTGGACTATTTGATTTGGGGATCCTCCAATTGAGTTTCATTCCTTTAGCTATTCGAATTTGGCTGAACTTTTTGTATGTCAACAGAAGGATAGACTTTTTGGTCCACATTTTTTAAAAGTTATATTTCTCGAGCTCATTTTTAATCATATTTAATGAGAGCCACAACTTTTATCATTTTTTTAATCATATATTGTATCAACTTTTATTAAAACTAGACATACTATTTAGAAGGATCATCTTAAAAGTAGGAGAACGAATCATAAGTAAGATGTCCTCTCACTTAAGATACTTAAACTAAGTTGTAACTCCAACAATTCAACGTAACAATACTTTCGAAAATGGCTCTTATTCATACCAACGATATTTTGAACTCAAAATTTCCAACATTTATGTGCATACTTGAAATTAAGGTCAATAATGAACTTTAGTCCCCAACGACACTTCTTTTCATACGTTCCATACTAAGTCCTTTCATATTGCTAATAAATTTATCTTTGACATGACCCAAACAGATGTTTCTTCTGGGGTTTACTTATCCATATATTTTGTTTTCAAATCTGCTACATGTACATTTATTTTATATATTAATTTTAACATTCATAATGTATCAAAATCATGGCCATTGATTTGAATTACACTTTTTAAAATCAATGTTCATGATTATGATACATCAAGAAATGTCAAACTTATTGTACAAAAAGAATGTATTACTAGTTTAATTCTTTTATTTTAAGTTAAAACTCAATCATTTTTGGTAATTTGTGTCTTTAAAACGAGTCAGAAACGTGTTGAAGGTCACATTACTCGTGTTGGACTGTGACACGGGTTGTGTTGCCTAGAGGCTCGTCCATGTAATTAAAAAAAAAAATTGAAAATTTAATTAATTCAATAGGTCTTCAACTAAAATTTTAATGAATTTTAAAATATTATAAATTTTAATAAATGTCATGAATTTAAATAGATTTTTGAATAATTCATACAAATCTAATAAAAAATGGTGTAATTTCAATAGAGTTTGTCATGTGTATTTTTAAGTTAGAAATCCATCTAAATATCTTGCAATCTGTTTATTAAAGAAATTTATATAAATCCACAAGTAATAAAGACGTCTAAATTTTAAAGAATTTCATCGAAATTCATTAAAATCTCGGTTAGGAATATTTAATGAGATTAAATAGCATTACTCAACGGACTCGTATAAAATGTGTCTTATCGATCCAACTCATCATTTGCACTGCACGTGTAATGACGTAGGCAATTTTGGGCTAAGCCAATTAATCCATTGAAATTTTCCAGCCCTTCATTCGGTACATCGTATTATCCCGTAAAATTAGGAGAGAGACTTTTCCGCGGCAATTTGCTATCGCAATCCAAATATTAATTACTATTTTACTATAAAAAATTAATTAAAATACGACAAAGCAGTGAAACATTTAATATTATTTTATAAATGTCATTTTCATGTTGACATTAATAACGTGCACCTTTTCTCCACATGTTGCTACTTTCTTTGGATAAATTTCCAAGTTTTTGAAAAATGCTATTAATTTTTATAAATCTTCCACATACGTACGTTGGAAGGATTGATTAGTAATATAAAAAATCAAAATAAGAACAGTAAAACAATCATTAAGCTAGAAGAATATGAAAAGGAATTCGTATTTCCCAATATATTACCATCCAATTGTGATGCAAGATTTCATATTTCTAGTAGACGAGAAAGACATCGTGGTTAAAAAACCATCGTTTTCACTTGGTGGACCGGTGGTCGAGTTTTCCTCTTTAAAGAAAGAATCCTTATGATGAGGGCATTGTTTGGAAGGAAGTAAAATCTTCTATAATTTGAATTGATTTATTATCAATGTTATAAGAATAGATATGATGAAATGTAAAGTCAAACTGGATAAGAGTTACGAGTTCAATAAAATGAATAATTAGAAATGAAGTTTAATCAACTTATAATTTTAAAAAAAGATTTATATCGGAGATCAATAAATTCAAAATCAGTTGATCCACCTTTCTTTTTTTTTTCTTTTTTCGAGTTCATGTTCAAGTTGACATTTAAAATATTGCTTTTTTACTTGTTCGCAATAAAATTAACGTCAACTTTCAGTTGTGTATAGAATGGAAAGAAATGAAAGATTGTGGAAAGTTTGCTCAATTTTCCAACTTTCAGGTGTGAACTTTGGGCTCAAAAAATATTCCTTCCATATGTTTGAATAGAATACTTTCAGATTGCTTATGTATTCTAAGCTGCTGTTGATGTTACCTTTTGACTTGACCATAAAAGTTTTTCCATAGGAATGGCAATTTGTTCTAGTAAGTGACATGGGAACCAAAAATATAGTTCCATATGTTTTTATTTTTTATGTTTTTTAATATAAAATTCATTTTAAAAAATGAATAATAAATTACGCAGGAAGGTGAATGAGGATTCACAAATTTTCAACGGAATAATAATAATAATAATAGTCGCTCCAACCTCATTGTCGTCCCTAATTGTTTACATTTTTCGTTTTTTTCTCCGAAGTATAAAACGAAACAAAATAGAACAAATCAGCACCAATTGGTTTTGGTCCAATGTGATTCTATAAATTGATCAAAGACTTTGGAGAAATCTAATACTTTGCGCAAATAATTAAATATTAGAGGAGTTTAATAGTCAAAACAATCTTATAATCGACGGTGTATATCGTTATTAAACAATAAAATACCTTTATGATATAGGTTCAATGAATGAGAATAAAATATTATGAGCAACAGTGAGTCTCGTCAGAAGTTTGTCAAGATTCTAGAGGTATTCTTCCGTCAACGAAAGTTGATTAGAATTTTTCTTGGTAACATTATTTGTAGATTTCAATGAACAGATAAGCCTTTCTTTGGCTCATCTTTGTTATCGATTAATTAATATTCAAAATCGATTTTTATTCACTTTTCAAAAAGATACACTCACTTGTTCATAACTAATTTTTAATTTAAATTATTTATAAACACATTTTACACGTGCCTTATGTTGACCTCGTTTTCGGTTAGGACCACACAGATAACAGATGTCGGACATACTCGCGTACACGATACACATGAGTTAGTTTCAACACGCAAAGACAAATCAACGGTCGGGAACACTCCAAAATGGGNGTTATTTTTGTATTCAATGTTGCATTAGCCTCACAAGTGTTTCATGGGGAGTATTTATGGTGATACAAGTGAAACGATGATCCTTGGATGTGAATACACGTGGCCTCATCTCCTTAGTTTATACATCAAATCTTAGGCATCATTTTTTTTATTTCCTAGCCTGCTATACATTTATTATCCATGCAAAGCCACCATTTTGTTGATAAGACTTGACACTTACACTCTATGACAAGCGCCCCCTCAATAATTCGAATAAGATATTTGTGTAGAATAGGATCTCTTGGAAGAAGTGATAGGGGAGCTTCGGCCTCGACGTTGTGGGATTCAAAGGCTACCACATTGGCCCGTTGGGCTTTGGACCGCATGATCCTGAGCTCAGTTGAGGCATTAACTTCAGCCACGTTGCATTCCTCTTTAGCTTTAAGGCCTCGGTGACTACATGGTGTGCTTTGGCTTGAGCGAGCCCAGAGCTATAGTGGGTTTGCCACGTGGAATCACGTCTGACGAGGCATAGCACCTTAAGTTTTGTATCATCGAGATTGACAATGGCACGACGATTTTCAATTTTTTATCTATTCAAGGACGGGAACTTCTACACTGAGAAAGAGTAAACTATGTTTTTCCAGCTGCACAAAATTTTGGTTATGTAAGGAATGTTTATGTTATAAATAATGCTATCAACACTATTGATGCTACAAACATATCATTTCAAATGGCACTAAATATGCGTTCAATTACAAGTATGAAATTTGTATGGAAAGAAAATAAATTTTAGGTAATTTAATTGTTTGGAACTTATTTACATGAAAATTGTCAATTAAATATGTTTGATTGATTTAATTTTTAATTTAGAAAATATTATATTTGGCCTTTTTTATTGATGAATAGACGAGGGAGAGAAAGAGTAAATTCATTGGAAAATAAAGTTCCACTCTCTTTTAAAAAGATATTTTTCTTGATTTTGAGTAAAACAGGATCACGCGATCAAAATATTTTCTTATTTAATATTATTTTGAATGATTTTATAACACTAATGATACTAAATAACATCACTCATTTGTTACGACTCTCAACAGTGAAATTCGACCACATTGGTATGATCTAAGACAACAATACACCAATGCATACCACTCGAAACCTTGAGTACATGCGACAATTCGTTAAATAGAAAATTTAATCAAAAGTTTAAAATTTTTAAAATGCATTTTATTATTCTAATCTCTATAATGTGGAATGTTTCACGTGAAAAATAACTTTATTTCTCTCGAATTAAAAAGTTTTTACATGTGGTTTATTTTTTCTTGTCTTCATACCATGGAAAAACTTTTATTCCCTCAACCACCAAACCTACCCCCACCATGCTTGATTTTTACACATATTACAAATCCATTGATTTAAATTTCATTAGATGACTAATTGACTATAAAGAGAGTGGTACAAAATGTCTTTTTTATTTACAAAAAACCTAACAAGCCCCTATCGTGTTCGCCTCTACTGCGTATTTAGGTAACCAATAGTTGTCCACCCAATGGCAATTGAGTCATTTGCCAACCAACTTGACAGCCACTTGATCGGCTCTCTACCTCCAATTCGGCTTGCTCAGCCACCGCCTCTTTCTTTATCCGCTTAGGTGAGCAACTCTCCGAAGCAGATGAAGCAGCTGGCTCAGGTGACCTCCTCTTAGCCGTCACTCTTACCGGATCTGGCTCATTCGAGCCAACTTTGTGAGGAAAATTCAACAGAGCTTTCGAGCCACGCATTCTATAAGCCGCTCTATCATAAGCCAAACCCGCTTCTTCAGCCGTTTCATACGTCCCAAGCCACACTCTAGCGCCGTTTTTAGCCGGGTCCCTTATTTCAGCCGCAAACTTTCCCCATGGCCGTTGCCTCACCCCCCTATAGTGCCTCGGCCTCCCCTTCAACTTCGCCACCGCTGGCTTCGCCGTCATCGGTGGAGGATCAACATATTCCGTCTTCACCGCAGCTATACTCATCTCGGGTTCGACTTCAATCCTTGTCTCGACTTTAACGTCGTTAAAGGGTGTCCAACCAACGGTAACGGCATCGCGCAAGAGTCCATATATCACCATATCCTCAGAATCATCAACTTTCAAAGGCAAGTCACCCCATGTTTCCGTTAAACACGGCATAAGACTACTAAAACTCGAACTCCGGCTATACACCGGTGATGACTCCACTGAAAAATTCACCGGCGTCAGCTCACTAAAAATTGGTTGATGCATTTTTTATTTTTTTGTGTATATATCAAATGGTATTTTCCAAGAAATTGGATTTTCTTGAAAACAATTCTAGAGAGAGAGAGAGAGAGGGAAATCTAGAGGGAGAGAGAGAGANGAGAGAGAGAGAAGAAATCTGAATTTTTGAAAGGAGAAAAGAGACGGGGGTATATATAGGATGATGCGAGAGAGAGGTGCATGCACCCAATTAGTGTACTGTTCATAAAGATTTGGGTAAAGGTAAAGTATATGTCACAATTTTTAATTAATTGTACCATATTTTGATTTTACTTGAAGTCATCAATTTTTGTTCAATAAATCATTTATGTCATTAACATTTTTAGATGCATTTTGATTAACAAATTTTATATTAATTTACACAACTCGTCCCTTGTGACAATTTTCATCCCGAAGACTCGTTTGTGAACGTAAGACAATTTATTTGTATATTTTTAAAAATAAATGCGAAATGCGATAAATTATTTTTCCTTTAGCTCAAAAATATGTAGATGAAACATATTTTACTAAAATCATCAAAAAAATTTTGATATATTAATTAATAGAAGGTCGGAAAATTCAATAAAAAAAAGTTAAGAACGTAAATTTTATATTGTGCGAAGAATGGAGAACTTATTTATAATTAAAAAAACATTGCAGAAACAATAAAAAACGTGTGGTGAATATAAAACTTCAAAAAGTATTGAGGTGTTTTTTGGAAATTTGCCCATGTGCAAGTGGTGCAAGTTGGTGGAAATAATACACAATCACGTGGTTCAATTCATTTGGATAGGGTTCTGTCGTCACTTGATGCTGTCATTGCTTTTAATTTTTCCTCAAGAGTTTTCTTAACAGTAAGTTTGCCTTCTGGTCAACTAATATCGACATAAAATGTATTTTTAATTACCAAATTAACGACATGTTTCATAGTAATTATAAGAATTAATTTTTTGATCATTAAAGAGAAAATGGATCTCACATCTGAGTGAAAAAATAAAAAAATGACAATTAAAATGGTGAAATAATGATAAAAAAAATAATTTTTTTGGGTGAAAAATTGCTATCAAATCGGGGCTCAATGGTGGCCAATAAAATATTTTGTAGATAATTTATTTAAAAATATATATAAAAAGGAATAATAACTTTCATTAACAACACCTATAATTTATCTGTTTGATTAATAATTGAAGCATCGTCAGTAATTATCAACAATATCATTAATGATATAGGTCCAATAATCGTTGAAACGGGTCTATTTATGATCTTGACAATATTAATGTCTAATTCCATTTTATTCATCAATATAATACATCACTTATCAATCAGACTAGGGTGCGCGAAAATAACTGGAACTAATCGAGTCAATCTGAATCGGCCGATTTTATTTGATTATGCTAAATTTTATACGAATTCGGCTTTTAGAACTCCGAATCGATCGGTTCTTGGTTATGTTCCGATTCAAGTACCAAAAACTAAGAATCGAGAACCAATTCTAAACTAATTATTTTTAATTAATTATAATTGTTTGTGAATTTGATGAATGATTTTAATTAGACAATATTTTCATAAAGATATAACTTTTCATTTGCATTTAATGAGATTTATTGTTTTTATTTTAAATACGAGTATTAACTTCTGGGATGAAACTTTGTACTCTAACGGGCATTAATAATTTAAATTTTTTATTATGCAATTGATTCAAACCAAATCAAATCGAAACCATTTGATTCAATCAAGGTTTAGTTACATAATTAACAATGTAACCAATGGTTCCATTATAAAAAATCATTGATTCTCGATTCGATTTCGATTCTTTTTGAAACCAATCATTTGGAGCCACACACACACCCCTTTGTTCATTAAATATCCCTAGCCTCAATAAATATCCCCTGCTTGGGCTCCATTAAAAAAACAAAGGAAACTCATTTTCTTTTTTAAAATTTATTTTCAACTACACATTTTTCCATAAAATAATTTCACATAAAGTCAAAACACTTTCTTATTTTTTAACTACATATTCTCCAAAAAATCACTATTACACAACACATTTTCCCCAAAAATGAGGATCAAAAGGCGACAAAATATCTTTATGGGCTTCATACACTACAAGTTAATTATATTCACCCCACAATTTTTATTTCTTGCACCATATTTTAATTGTAATTAAGGTTCTTAATCTTTGAACATTATAACACTTATGTCCTAAACAATTTTTCAAGTCATTCTTATTCTCAAACTTTCAATTAATTAATACATTTTGTATTTGATAATAGTTTTATAATCAAAAGTCCATTGAAATAACGTAAAATAACTTATTTCTCTATCAATTTTTTAAATAAATAAATAAATAAAAATTGCAAAAAATATTTTCTCCTCATTTCAAAGCATAAAATTTTTTTGATATAAATTATTATCAAAGACGAGACGTATTAATTAATGGAACGTTTTCGACAAAAAAAAGTCAAGAAAATAATTGCTACATTGAGCAAAGATTGATGAGCTTAACTGTAATTAAAATATGGTACAACAAATAAAAATTGTGGTGTCAATATAACCACTTTTACTATAAGCTATAGTATCACTCCCAACCATCTAACTCAAATGGAAAAAAAAAAAGAAAAAAAAAAGAAAAGAAGACTTAAATTCATAAATTAAAATCCCATGTTCCTAAATAAAACTTTTTGCACGAAACATCAAACACATATGAAACCATTTCATTTCCCGCCCTTTCAATATATACTGGCTTGACAGCCACATTAAGCTCAATCAACCCTTTCTTTCAGGATTAGAAAGCGCAAATTGACTCCAAAATTAGTCAGGAATGAGGAAGGCATATAGATGCTCATGTCGACTATTACTGCCTCTGGGAAAATAAATCTTACAAAGTTTCACAACATTTTAAATTTGGAACTGTCTTTTGTTTGAAGTATAACATAGCCTCGTTTGGCGCCCATTTCTTAAAACTTATTTTTCTTCAGAAATCATTCTTAACTACATATTACATAAAATTCACAAATTTTATCAACTTTTCAATCACTCATTTCACCAACTTATATCAAATTTACTAAAATTCTGACTTTTATCCAAATCAAACAGGGGTGTAGTATTTATAGTATTTGTAGGAGTGGGGTTGGGTTGGATTAGGTTAGGTAAGCAAGCGGTACAAATGTAGGATCACCATGTCAAACTTCGTAAATTTTCGCATGCCTTGAATTTTTAAGTGTCATAATAATATCTCTCGAATTTCAATAATAACACACTTTGTTTTGTACGAGGTAATGTATGTCGTTTGAAATACCTATTTGCGTCATCAAGTTCGGCATGCCATAGTCGTTAACATCTTTCCTTGCCAATGCAGACTCTAACTTTGTGCCCTCTAGTTAAAGTTGACCTTGACCAAGCCTTAATGAACATTTACAATAGAATTGGGCTTGCACCTTCTTAGCGTTTGTTGGGCTAAAGCAAGAAGCTTTGTTCAGGCTAATTAGTGGTTCAAACAAATAAGGGTGAAAATCCAGAATTATACTAAATTAATTGGTTGTGGCCTTAGCAAATTGAATTAACCTTCACTTATGTGATTCACCAAGCATTGGGTAATGAATAGCATCGAGTTTCTTAAGATTGACTCAAATTTGATTTGTGTTTCGAGATAATTTATATTTTACTTTAAAATTAAAATAAACGGCCAAATTTCAATATAGTTTTGAGCTCATAAACTTTTTCAAAAACTCAAGTCCCACTTCGAAAAAAGACCTTCTTTTTTTTTTTTTTTTTTTTTTTGA